AAATGGGGGATAAAAAGGAAAGAAAGGAACATTAATTGAGCCCGTAAATTGGGTTAAGTTATTCAAAATATCTTTTAAATAATATAAAACTCTTCCCAACAGAAAGCTGAAGGAAAGGGGAAAAAAATCATTTCTCCATAGATATAATTTATTTTAAAGGGAGTATGCAATGTGTGGATCAATGTCAGATTTTTTTCTTGGTGTATACGCAGGCCCCTGACTGATAGCTTTATTCTTAAAGGACAGCAAATGTGGACAGTTTTCCAAGCAACAGTTGCCAAACATCATTCTCAGTTCTTTAAGATAAGGATCAGATCTATGACATTAGCTGAGCATCTTCTCAAAATTTTGTGAGTCTGATCATTGGGGAACTTCAGTGGTTACAATTTTTGTCATGTCAGTCTCGACTCATCATAGTACTCAAAAGCAGTCTGCAAATACTCAAACTTGGTAGGTTCTCCAAATGGTAAGACATCAGTCTGGAACAAATTGCTACCTCTGGAAAGTGTCTCCACAGTTATTGCATAGTTTTATTGCATTCTTTATATTTCTCTAATCAGTTTTCTAAATTGTGAATGTTCTCTGACCTCTTGTCTTTTCAGCTATGAATCACTCATTGTCTTCTTTGCTGCGTGTGTCTGTAGCACCATAATTGTCAGAATATCATTGCCAGAGTTATCCTGCTGTAGCTTTTGCTAAAATTTCTGTAACTCCTCCAGTCTATAAGTCTATTACTTTGCAGTTATTTCTTCACAAGCATCAAGGATTTCTTCACATCTTCTGGCTGTTCTTTTTAGAGGATGGATTACTCAGAAAACAATTGAAATAAAGTCCTTAAATGAAGTTCTTGGGCTGGCAGGAGGCGTGGTGATTAAGGCGATGGACTACCACATGGCTAACCACGGTTTGATCTGGACCTGGTAGCTTGCTTTCTCACTCTTCCTTTCTCTCTCTCTCTGTAATCAAACGTAATACTAATAAGTAAATTTTTAAATATTTTTTAAAAATGAAATTCTTTAAAATTACAGTCATAAGGGAACAGCAGATGGTGTAATGGTTACATTGCTGGACTCCCATGTGGTTGACCGTGTTTCGAGTCCTGACACAGCAACTTAAACTCAAGTCAGGGAAGGTTTTATTTTTTAAGAATTTTTTAATATAATTTTACTGATTTTTAAAAATTTTTGGTATAGGGCATGTGCACTCACCAAAGAGAGACAGAAGGTGAGAAAGTGGGCTACCAGATCAGAACTCAAAACATAGTAAGCCATGTAAGAGTCCAGCACCTTAATCACTACACCACCTACTGGCCCTGAGAGGGAAGTTCTTAAAATTTAAGTCAGTGCAAAGTTCATCAGTCAGGAATGTTTTACCCAGATCAGCAAAAGACATCACAGTATATATGGAGCAGAAGCAGATTCCCAAGACTGTGTGTAGGATATGCATTGAAAAGAAATCTGTTATTAAGAAAAAATTAACTGAAAAAATAAAGCCTAGCACAAGAAAGAGACCATTTCTTCCCATCCTGAAATGTAGTACAAATACCAAGAGTTCTTAATAAATTTAGAACCTGTCAAAGCAAAGCAATGTGAGGATCAAGTTATAATAGATCATCTTCAAAAACAACTTTAAATAAAAAACAAATATTCTTTGATAGTGTCCCAGCATGTGGACAAAGAGGGAGGTGAAAATAACCTAGGAGCAAAGCAAAACCTGCAAAATGTGGTTAATTATGTCCAGAAAACTCTCCAGGTGAAAGAACTAACATGTAAGATCTTAAAAGATGAAAGAGTTGGATTTCTGCTTAGTTAGAAAAAAGTACATGGAATTGAAAGAGTTAAGCTCAAAATATGAAAAATTGCAGCCTTTACAACAACAGATGGGTGGAAAAAATAAACCCACAGAATGCTGGAAGAAAATGCTGAAGAAAGTACAAATCATGTGTGGACCAGTCTCAGTTGCTTGGTGATATGGACATCCAACATGATGACCTGGAGTTGAAATTAGCGGAAGCAAAGCAGGAGAAGTAGAAGCTGAGTGAGGAGATGGCTAGAATGCAGGAAGACAAAGAGTGTGAACAATAAATGGAAGAGAAAATCAAATAGAAGCAGGAAGTTCTCTAGTTGAAGCACAGTTCCACATTAAACAGCTGCTGGAGTTTAATACACAGCTGGCACAGAAATAACAGGATATGGAAATGACCATAAAATAAATGATCTATCAGGCCCAAGATGGGGAGGCTGAACTTTTGGAAAGCCACCAAGAGAGAAATCAGAGATTGAGATTTGAAATTTAAGCCTATATTTTTACTTTGGACTCTGCACATGATATTGGGAATGTTATATGTGTGTGGGGGGTGGGTAGCCTAAGTTTCATTTCTAATGAAACATTACTTTGGTTTAACTATAAAATTCTAGGAAATTACATAAAAACCAATCTATAAAAGGTGATCATACACCATAGGATGGCTTGGCAGAAGTAGTGACTAGCCCCATGTTCATCAGCCTCATTAAATAATTTATATTTTAAATTTTATGTATCTCTGCAAATACAACTGCAAGATCACTCCCTTAATAACCAACATTACTGCTAATAATCTCTATTCTTATGGGTCAAGTTGCTGCCCATAAAAAATTTCTAACTCAATTTCTTTCTTAGTTACTGCTAGAGATGGATAAATCACTTATTAGAGCCAGATTCTTTAATTGAATCATTAACTAAAATAATTCTTTCAAAAATATGTTTTTCCTTATTAGAATATGTGCATGCACAGTGAAAAAGATTAGCACCCTCCACCGGACCTGGTCACACTGTAGTCCTCCAGACCTCTAGCCTGTGGGATATTAGGCACTCATGCTCATGCCTGATCAGGCTGGGCATTTGAACCACAGATACTGTGTGAGATTCAGCTTCTCTTGAGCTGCTCCTTACCACCATGCCATGGAGCTAGACCAATGAGTACATTTGAAATCTATCCAATTATTATCCACATTCTTATTAGCATTTCTAAATTGTTGCTTGTTAGATTTTCCTTTTTCTTGCTATATCAAACCAATCACAAAATCTTAATTCTGTTGACAAAATGTATCTCAGCCATCCTTATTTTCTAAAGCTCTTCTCAGTGATACTATTAAAAAAGCCTCTAGTCTCTACTTCTCTTTCATACTGTTGCTGTAATGAGCTTTTGACACAGGAATGTGATGTTATAGTTCTTCTAGTTGTTATCCTGTTAAATAAATATCCTGTTAAATATAGTTCTAATTATTATCCTGTTTTTTTTTTTTTCATGACATATTAGACCCATCACAAATTGAGCTTTATTCGGTCATCTGTTATTACTAGTCT